TACACTGCACCAGAGAGCCAGATCTGTGACTTGGTGGTGGAGCACTAGCCTACCGTGAAGAAACCAGGGCTCTGCCACAGTTGCCAGACAAAGGGGGAATTTTGGACAGAGCCAGTGTTTCAGCTTAGTGACAGTTAAAGCAGAAGGTGTAACTAGATTCTGAGTGTTATGAAGATCTAGCCGTAGCTGTCAGGTGCTATCAGTAAACAGTGCAACTATTTACTGAATGACGGGGAGCTCTAGCACTCCTGTGTTCCCACGGATGTCAGGGCATGTGCAGACACATCATTTTCTGGTTTGAAATTATGGAAGAGCCGGGCAGTGGTGGTACACGCCTTTAATCCCAGCACTTGGGAGGCAAAGGCAGGCGGATTTCTGAGTTCGAGGCCAGCCTGATCTACACAGTGAGTTCCAGGACAGTCAGAGCTACACAGAGAAACCCTGTCTCAAAAAACCTAAAAAAATAAAAATTAAATTAAATTAAAAAATAAAAATAAAAAATAAAAAGAAAAGAAATTATGGAAGAAAGATAACTATGAACAGGAAGCTGCATGAAGGGCGAGCACCTGTTTCTCTCTCCTAGTGCAGTGGAGCAGTAGGCAGTACGCAGGGACGATTAAACCCCAAGTCCCCACTTTCTACCCATTAGTGCTCCTACTGAAAGCACAGACATGCCCTCTAGAAAATAACAGACTGTGAGCATACAGAAAAGAAAGCCCTGTGGCCTTGGCAAGAGTGTAAAATAGCACAGCTGAGATGTAAACTAACAGACAGGTCCTGAAGAAACTGAGCATGTAAGCATGGGTGACACAGACTCGAGAGAAATGAAAGCAGAGACCTGCAGAGACACCAAGACACTTCTGTTTAGCAGCATTACCTAAGAGTAAAAGGACGGAAGCACGTCAAGTGTCTCTTGACAGCCTGTGAGTAAACACAGTGTTTACAGAGTAAAATGGAGAGGCATTCAGTCTTAACACGGGAGACATTTTGATACATACTACAATATGAACAAACCCTGATGACATACGAAGTGGAATCAGCCAGTCACAAAGGACAACTACTATATATGACTTCACATATACAAGGTTTCCTGATTTCATACAGACAGGAAGAAGCTAGGAGAGGGTGCAACGGTGAACAGTTTTATTGGGGAGGATGAAGTCTGGAAATAAACTGGACACAGCAGTACACACCTGCATCCCAGCACCCTCAAGGCTGTGGCAGGACTGTAGGTCTGAGATCAGTCAGCCTATACGGTGAAACCTGTCTAAAAGAAGCTCTGCACATGGCTGTGTAGTAGTGTGAATGTACCGACTGCCACTGGTTTTCATACGTTACATTGCCTAGAATGCTAATTTTATGTTGTGTACTTTGTTTCCTGAGTAAAAAGGCGGAAGTGAAGAAGTTGCCTCTTTCTTTGAAGCCAGTTGCAGTGGGATGTACCTATAATCTCAGCGCTTGGGAAGCTGAAGCAGGGGGATTCTGACGTCAGTGTCAGTCTGGAACTGAGAAAACTCCATTTTGAAAGTGCAAGTTATAAAGTGTTAAGGTTGTTAAAGGCTGTGTAGAGATGCTATGGAGGGGGCAGAAGGAGTTATGATTTTGTTTTCAACTACGGTCTTTTTGTGACCAGACTTTAGATGTATTTCACTGAATGCTTATAGTCATAAACCTTACTTTATAAAAGTTAGTTAAATCCTAGTCTGTACAAATACAGCCCAGATTGGGCAAAGAGAAAAATCTTCAAGTCTGATTTGTGGTTCATGTGCTTTAAGAAATACTGAAACCATACAATTTATACAATAATAAGACAATTACCAGCAGACCTAAGCAGCACAACAAAACTCTGACAAGGGGAAGAAACTCCAGGCATGATGCCTTGTGCTCAGGAAACAGCCTGAATGATAGTGTCCAGCATCTGAGATCACTGTAGTCAGATAACTATCTCAAGAGCGTTTCTGGACTCTACATACCACAGTGAAAACTGTCAGAAATTATTCAGAGTTCTGGCCACTTTTGTCTCTGCCCCTCCTACCTCTCTATAAAGCAGCCCCTAAGACACCTCTGGATACATCTGTATCTAGCCTGAAACCTACACATCCAAAGCTGAAAGTAAGTCAAACACACTAAATATCTATCTCTCCACTGACATTCAGAATGATGAAAACATACCAGTTATCAAGGGGCTCTATGTTCAGAGGGATGGGAGAAAGCAGTAGAAAATTAACATTTAGCTGTTTGTAGTGGTACAGGCTTTAATCCCAGCACTTGGGAGGCTGAGGCAGGTGGATCTCTATAAATTTGAGGCCAGCCTAACTTAGATGTGAGGTTTAGGCTAGGGCTACAAAGTAAGATCCTATTTAAAATCAAACAAAAAAGTTTAAATAGCTTTTCCTTTCGATAAAGGACTGTATCTGAGAACTTAACAAGCCTGACTGGCTAGACCTCCATGTGGCATGCATCTCAATTCTATGAGTGTACTTTGTTTAAAAGCAACTAATTGCAGAAAGCCATTTCCAGTCCATTAAATACATTTATTTTGACACAAAAAAGCCTGCTGTAAAATTAACTGTGTCCCAAAGCCTGGATGGAAGGTCCACACAATTCTTGGTTTTAGATTCCAATAAAGGATTACAGGTTACCTTGGTACATTAATCAGAATCCATTTACATTTTTGACAATGGGACTTGGGCCAACTGGATGAAGAGTGGTTGCTTCTGCCAATACTAGCAACTGTTGTGAATAAATGCATCTGAAAAAAGCGGAGTGAGACCCTGGGAACGCTGAATGGCAGAGGGTACAGTAAAATGAGCAATCTTTTCGGATGTCAACTTTCCAAGTTTGATCAGACTAGTAAAAAGTGCTACCAAGTGCTTTGAGCTCGGAGGGTCACCCCCTAGAGTAACAGAGGGCTGCCTTATTGACAAAGTATTTTATGCACTGTCACTTCCACAGGAGCCCCTGGAAAAAGAATGTTTTAAAGTGATAGCAAAAATGTTCCTCTTGAGAGGGTACACTGAAAGAAAACCAGGCCCTGCATGAAGGGGTGTGATTTATTTGAAAACACGTATTTATGCTTATAAGGAGCCATGTATCACAGACACAAGATTTCACATTAGGAATGACTCTGCCCAAGCCTAAGATCGGGGAAAGACACCATTAAGGCTGCAAAGCCAGAGTATAATTCCATCCATGGCAGAGAGCTCTGACAGTAACTGTGTCAGACATCATCAACACTGATTCAAACAACAGGTCCCCTCCTGGGATCTAACATCACCGCTGTGATAAAATTCAATGTCCTACACTAGTGAGAGAGACTCAATGCTCCTGTGCTTTCTTTGAGCTCCTTCTCATATGGTAGCATTCTGTACTTTCTAGTTACATGACTATGATCATTAAAGAAACCATCTTAGATAAAATCAACCACATACACTGAAATGTAAAGACGCCAACATCTGTGAGCGCTTATGAGCTCTCTACCTGACCTGGAATTTGAGAAATAGTTAATGTCATCTCCATCTTCCTTTACAATGACAAGACTTTTAGCTGATGTGGTAGGGTGTGCCTACAGTCTCAACTACTGGGGAAGCTAAGGGGGAAGATCACCTGAATCTATGAGTTTGAGACCAGCATGTGCGATACAGTGAGTACCTGCCCGCACCTCCAAATATACACCACCAACAAAAAGAGGGACTTTTAAACAAGTTGTTTAAGCCTCAAATGAAAAGACACAAAATGTTAAAATGATTTGGAAATTCAGTTTATAGAATTATTCAAAAGAAGAGCTTGTGAGACTAATTCAGAATATTGAGTTAAAAAGTATAATTCCTCTATTGTATATTCAAAATCTCGCCAGAGATGTGCAAGTCACAGTATCTAAGTGACAGTAGTCTATAAAAGTCAGTGCCCGTGAGCCACTGCTAGCACTCCTTCCCCCAGCGACCCGTTGTTCCTTAGGTAACACTCTGTAAGACACTGGTGAAGCTGAGAGTATTAGGATGTTAAACATAACACTATGTACTCAAACCTAATGTGTCCAGATACAGGCTGTGTTGTTCCTGCTGACTGGAAATTGATAATTTTCTTCACTTTATGGGAATTCAATATTTTCATGTCAACAGAATACAATCTACTCTTGATTTTACAGATTGTGATTTTCTATTCTTGGTTACCTACTTCATGACCCATATCATTCTAAGGCCAGTAAAAAACAGCATGGCAGTGTCATTGACAATGCCCATAATGAAGGCGCCTTATTAGCAATGAGGAATGGGGCCCAGTAAAAACTCAGATCCAATGACTGTTAGCAAGTGAGAGGACAGTCGCGAGCTGGTGAGGATGAGAGGATGGGGAAGGGCGGGAGGGAGGACAGGAAGAGAGGTGGCAGCTGCTTTAAGGACGACGATGTCTTTCCCTTGTACATATTGACTTAGACTTAGAGACATCACAGAATTTCAGGTTTGTCCTTCAGGGCACTGAAACACCCATTGAAAACCAAGTTCCCACATAAATGTCTGATCATAGTTCAGTGCAGAGCCAGCTCCTCTCCTTCTGGGGTTATGTGCCTTGTTGCAATACTTTTTGACTTGTGAGGGGTTTTATGCAAGGGTACTGAAAATGAATGAAGCATCAAAAAACCAACTTAAAAACCTGTTTTTTACAACTTAAAAAGCTGTATGTTATAAAGGAAGGAAAACAGTAACACACTCTTTCAAATCGATTCTCAGTATCAAAAATCACCACCACACTCTTACTGCTTGAGAGAGGGTAACGGACTTGTTGAAAGACCCATGCCGCACATGCTGTGAGATACTCTGCTTCTTCAATCACTTGAAGTTACTCTAAGGGATTATTTGAAGCTGTCTCAAAAAACACCAGTAGATGGAAAACTTACAAATTCCCAAGAGAAAGCACTGGAAAATGAGAGTCAAAGAAAGGAGAAGGCAAACCACTAACTGAAAGGCACGGCTACTTAAGTAAATAGAAACACAGTACTATACTTTGGTTTCGCATTTTTGTATTCTTCAGTGTCCGTGTCCTCGTCCTCTGAGTACCAGTTATCTCCTCTTCCTCCAGCCAAGAGGCCCCTGGCCGCCAACAGTCCTGCAGCGTTGCCATAGCCAGTGTATTTCAGCAGGCTATCCACTGCAAAAACACAACAGGGTTTTAGATAGGGATCTTAAGCCCTTGCCATCACCACCCACTCACCAGCACACAGGAGGTGGGGATTCTGCCACGGCAGAAAGGCTTTAAGCATAAAGTGGCTAGACGGAACTACCTCCAAATGCTCCTTGCTGCTATGAAGACTAAGATACTGTCTTTAGGTACTAGGAATTCTGAAATTACTCTTCTGTACACACTTTGACAAATGTGGAGCCTCTGTCCTCCTACTGGTAAGACTCATGTATTAACTTTTTGATCTCTCACCTTATTTTTTGAAATTAAAGATAATGAAAATTAGATTGAGATTTTGCATAAGTGGCATGAACAACCTTAATTTTTTTTATCCTTAAAGGGATAGAAAGGAAGATATATAAGAAATGATAAGACTTACAGATATTAGCAAAGAAGAAAGGCTAAAGTACCAGTTACAGGGCGGGGCAGGCTGGGGAGACAGCTCAATGGAAATAGTACTTGTGAGACAGGCATGAAGACCAGCATTCAGATCCCCAGAACCCAAATGTAAAAACTGGGTGCAAGACAGAGACAGGATTTCCTAGGTACTGGCAAGCTCTGGATTAAATTGAAAGACCCTGCCTCAATAAATAAAGTGGAGAGCCATTGAGGCCTTCATATGTACACACACAACTTTGGGCTTTCATATGTACACACACATGTGGACCTAACACATACATTAACATCAAAAAGTTAGCAACAACATATAAACATAGGAATCCCACTGAGTCAGACTGGCTAGATTTCAATACTATCACCATTACTAGCTGGCTGAACTTGGATAAAATATTTTATAGCTCTACCCCAGTTTTCTGATCTGTAGAAATGGAATAGGGACTACCTACCTCCCAAATTAATACCAGTATTTTAGAAAAGTATGCGGCAAAAAGTCAGTTCTTGTTCCTTTACCTTTGGAGAACAGTACCTAAAACTATTGTGTTATATCACACACACACACACACACACACACACACACACACACACAGTCTGAGGCATTGAGTACATGGTACAGGCCTTCTGTAAGTATTACCCTACTGACAGAGTAATATCCTTTAAATGAGCTGACACAAGAATCTTTGCAAAGAAACCTTGCACTGTAGAAGTGTGAGTGCATGTGTGTATATGCGTGTACATAAATAATATGTGTGTATGTGAGGGGGGCTTATAAACTTTTAAAGAAATATACTGAACAATTACAGGCAACTTTATATAAGTGTACTTTGTTTTCTTCAGGTGTTTCAAGGTGTACAATTATGTATATAATAAAAAGACTTAAAACTTTACTGAAGGCTTTGAGTAGTATGTTCATAAAATGACATCCTAAGGTCAAGTGGAGAAAATAACACTATACATTTATCCATGTATAAAGCCACAATAAAACCTACATTTGAGAAACTTATCATTCACCTCAAAAAATGATGGAAAACCCCAGAGAAGCACACATAGGTGCTAAGAAGGAGGAGGGGGAAAAATCTGTGTGTGGACTTCAGCTGGGGACAGAGGATCATACCGATGGACGGAGAAATAAGCAACACTAAGAAAGGGCCCAAGGGACCCCTAAAACAATATAGGCCATTGCTATTGCCCTTGGTTGCCCCCCAGAACTTGAAAGTATGAGCCTACTACTGAAGACAGCACACTGCAGATGCAGGACTTGGAGGAATGAAGCTGCCCTGGAAAGCCCCTCTCTGAGGACTAACTTTCACAGTATCTGAAGGTGCTACATAAGCACCTTCTCTCTCACAAGAGAGAGAAGCAAGGAACAGACCCACCCAGCGTGGAGGCTATGACTGGCTAAGATAGAGAAAGAGATAGGGGATTTTCTAGTCAGAGTATGTAAGTATAAGGAACATGGACAGCGGCATAAAGCTGTTTAAATACCCACTCCAAGGACACACGAAGCTATCCTTCCTCTCAAGGAATATAAAAACTGGTTACGTTTGTATAAAAAGAAACATGGGGTAATAAGATAAAGAGATTAAAAGAAAGTTATACTCTGTAGCCCAAGCTGGCCTGGGCCTCACTTTCTCCTCCCTAGGTCTCCCAAATGCTGAGACCACAGGCAACTCCTACCACACTCAGCTGACACTTGTCATCTCTAACCTGAAGACCTACCAGTAGCTGTACTCCTTCTCAGTGCTACTGGAAAACACTATGTAAGTATTTAATGAGGGATAGGAATCGGAACCCTTGAATAAATCTGATATGCTGTCTCTTGTTGCAGTGATTCAAGTAAATTAGGAAATGCATAATGAATTATTAAGGGAACAAAAAAAATGTCTAGCGTATATAGGAGGCCAGACATGATTTTAATGGTCAAATACAAATCCACTGATGATCAAGGACCACAAATCTAAGCCCTCAGAACACTAATGCCTGGTAAGTAACGACCCCTGATATTTTAATGAAAACAACATTTATTGCTCTTTTATTGGAACATATGTCAATTCTGAGACACCTGGGTTACAGAGATGATTTAAGACATATTAATGCTCCAAAAATAAAGTCAAATGAAATTTTGGTAAGAATTTAAACAACAAGAAATTGGGAAGCAAAGAAAGGAGTTAAATGGAATATAAAACCCTATGTGAGAGAAACCCTGGAGTAGCTTACCTTCCAGTGTGATGCTAAAAATCCCATCTAAGCCCTGACGCACACTGTGGAGCAAGAAAGGTAAACTGACCAAACCTGGCTTACTAAGGAAGGAAGGATCTTCTGGTGGTGCTACATAGACACGCAAGGGCCCACACAGGATGGCAACTGTCTGTTATTACCTGAAGCTGCTCCTGAAATCAGATGATTCTCAGCAAGCTGATGTTGTAAGGGTGCTAGAGAACGTAGCCCACAGTGGGTGCTGATGAGGCATGCACCGGCAGGCAGGCAGTGGTGAAAGCCTACACAGACATTAGTTCTATTGTTTTACCACAAAGCAGAGCTTCCACCCCTTTACTGAGAGGAAAGCACAGCCAGAGACCATCCTCCCTTCTCAGTGGGAACCTTTCCATCCAGTTAAAGTCTACGCTGTCTAGAACCAGCAGCTCCTCTAACTAGCACTGTCTTCTAGGTCCCTCTCTTCCCATTTCTGCTTCTATACAGGCGTACAAGACACCTTTTGTTCAATACAAACCTCACCATGTTACCTTCCTGGAGGGAGCCTGCTTCCCTTAAAGGCTGGAATACCACTAGATCTAAAAGGTTTTCCTCTTACAGCCCCCCTTCTTTCTAAAGTTATGTACTACTCTGTACATCCTCAGATCCTGAATTGTTTCTTCTGTAACTACTTCTATACAAAGTGTCCCTCCAGGCTGCCACTGTAGCAAGCACAATCCTGCTTGAGAAGTTATTCCTCACTGTGGGGAAACACAGTGAAACATATATGCTAAGTGTCCACACGACTGAACTCACATTAACATTTATGGGACAATAAATACCTGTAAGATACAAGATCTCCAATGTAAAAACACTGGACGTTGGGGATGCAAGCTCTACAGAGTTACAGCATAGCACACGGGGAAAGCTTGACAAGAAGACAGGTGAGTAAAAATGGCAGGATGAAGAAGATCAACTTTGCTGAACAGTCAGAGTTCTTCAGAGATGAGGTCTACCGTGCTCTTCAAAGACAAAGCTTAGTATGCTGAGGACATGGGAAGGGCAGTTCAGGCAGTGCTAAAGCTGTTAGAAGCAGGAAGGGGCGGGAAGTACACTCAGGCAAGTACAACACTACACAGGCAAGGGGCGGGAGTAGAACAAGGCCTTCCCTAGGCAAGCGCTGAGGAAGCACTGTTGAGTTCACAAGGGGACAATGACAACATTCTGTCCACAATTTATAACAAACCCTGTTAGCTGCTTGGAAGACAGACCAAAGAAATCTGATTAGAAACAGTAGATCTGACTACATTAATATTTTAAGAAAAGGATTTTAAAGGCATATAACATGAAGTGGTGTGGGAACAAAATGGAAGAAAAAAATAAAAACGGTATTTACGAAGTCAAATCTGTCTGGTGTAATTAGTTGTACTTGTACATGTACAGAAGACAGGCAGGGTAACTGCAGGTTATGTCCCTTCACAGAGGGTATGAGCGAAGACTGAGGAGCACGGGCACCGGAGAAAATGCATCCAACTTCAGAAAGGAGAGGGAGGCAGCCATGAGAAACTCAGGTGCAGACGTGCAGTCTGTAGGCTAAACATGGAGGGTTCATCCTGAAGCAGAAGCCAAAAGTAGAGAGAGTGGTGTTCAGAGGATGACTATAGGAACTCAACGTGGGACCAGAATGATTGTCAGCAAAGGAGACTAAAAAGAACAGCTGTCAAAGGTCATCCAGGACTGCCCGAGCACAGACATATTGAGAGATACAAGCAATATTGCAACTACCAATAACAACTGCAGTAGGGTAAAGGTGAAAAAATACCCACTGCTTCTGAGAATGAGGTAGCCTGTGAACGTGTCAAGGGCAGTAAGAAGCATGCCCTACTACTGCTGGAACTGGAAAGGAAACGGCTGACTAGCAGTAAAGTGAGCTCTCCCTGGGTGTAGGGATACTGGGAATGAAAATAATCAGTCTTTCAAGACTCCAACATGGAAAAGCTTACAAAATTAAAGCAAAGACTAGAGAGGAACAACTCACAGCAGAAGGCTTTTAGGAAGACATGAAGAGAACTATGAACAGCCAAGAAGCAGTTTAGCAACAGGCTAAAGAGACGCCAATGGCCCTCACGCAGAGCTGCAGTGTGTGCTGCTAGACAAGGGAGCTCAAGCCTAGTTTATTGTTGTGACTTAGCCCTACCACGATGCTGTCACATGTGGAGACAGTGAACTGTTTCACAAGTCACTCTCTTTTAGTTAAACTATGAAGACTATTTTCAAGGAGCTTCCAGAGAGTCCAGTTTTAAAATTATTACTTTGAGAAGAATATATTTGAAGTGTTAGCACACAAAGCGATGAGCGTCATTATGCTATTTTCTATTTTC